CAAGTTTAGGTCAAGCATTCAAGGGCCATACGAATCCCTTTTGCAAGTTATTGAAAGAGCACATGAGTCATACAACATTAAAACTATTAAAAGCTAATCTATAGATAAGGACCCTGATACAAAAACTTGCTAGATTATTCTACAACGCTTTTCTACCATTCCTAAAGGAACACCTAAAACTTCACCTCATGAAATAAGGTACCTGCTGGAAATCTGGAATCTAGATTCACTGCAAATAAGTAGTACGAGGATGTCTGACTTAGAGGTAATAAGATTCATCCTAGCTTAATTTGATCAACAATATCAAAATTCGAATAAAAAGTTAGTAGTAAAATCTTTGTCTAAACTGCTTCCTTCATTTTCTTTGTATTACTTTTCATGAACCTTTAATAGACTCTCTTAGCCCCTTGTTATCTTTAAATCACCTCTTGGATTTACCATTGGATCTGAAATACGAAGAATGTAGTACTTAATGCATGCAAATTTTTCTGATAGGCAACGGGTGGAAGTAAGATAGTTCCGAGACCAAAAAAAAAAGTACTGTGCATGGCTATGAATTGTCTGTGCTGACATAGTGATGGAATTTTCATCTTGGCTTGTTCTTGTTTTGGACCAAAAAAAAAAAGATATTATGGCTGTAAAAACCTGGGTGTTTCATTCTGCTGCTTCAAAAAATAGTGTTACTGGGGAAGAGTACTTTAGCTTCTCAAGCCAAGTTTGTATAATCTAGTATCCTACTTATCTTATACAATATCTTTCCTGAGTTTTAAAGCTATTGGTAATAGCGGCTTTTTTGTGCCGCACAGTAGGCAAGAATTGGAAGTGATGCACTTTTGGCTGTGATTCCAGATCCAGTTACATGCTTTTCAACTGCAAAGTATTCTCAAACTCAAGTATTCAAAGTGTTTCCCAGCTCCAGCTTGCTCATTGTTGATTGGATAACTAGTGGCCGCTATGGAAGAGGTGAAAAGTGGGACTTTGAACTTTACAAGAGCACTAACAACATTTTTTAGAAGCTGATGAGCCTTTGTTTCTTGACACGGTATTGTCATCCTCAAGCCATGTTTTTTAACTATGCTAGCATCATTGTATACTAAGCGTGTGATATTGAAGAGAGTGGTGAAACTGAAGTATTTTAATCTTATAAGAAATTTTTATTTTTTGAACTATTGCTTGCAATAGATTCATGTCAATCTTGAATATCTTTAGATTTATGTAGAATGTTGTTTTTTTTTTGTTTTAATTGCTTTCGAGCTTTCAACCTGTGGTCATTTAATGTCCTTTTAGTCAATTTATGCATATACAGGCCTTAATCCTGGGAATATATGTCATGTTGGACAATAGAATATTGTAATCATGGCAACTGCAGTTTCCAGGAACATGGTAAATTAATTTTGTCAAACAACTTTGAGCAAATGTCGATTAGATGCCTTAATGATAGGAAACATCTTTGAGATGAATTCCCAAAAAAAAAAAAAAAAGATCTTTTGGATGAAATTGCTTTATTCTGATGGACTGAGCCTGGAGAATGTGTTTCTCCATAGCAATTAATGTTGATATTAGTTGAAATAATCAAATGCAAACATCTCATGGAGATACAAGCTTCAGATCTTCAAACTGATTTACTTGGAACTTTGGTGCACTTTTTGAACTTTGGCTTGCTTAAAGATCATCTAGCACTTTGGCATGCACAGGTGTTATGTTACCCAGTCTTCTATTGTCTTCAACATGGAGATCATTTAGGTAATTTTTTTTCCTCTATCAGGAATCTTTTGTTTTCCTTTTCACGCATGAATAATCATTAGTTGTTGGTGAAGTCTCAGAATGCTCTCTGTATTTGGGTTTCTTGACTCCCTTGTGTTGGGAGACTCTTGCTTTCGGTATTTTCTATACATCCGACTCTAAAACAAACTCATTTTGTTTTCTTTACATCTAAACTAATTAGAGAATGTTGATCCAAGAATGGTTACCTTTAATTCAGCTCTCTTCTCTGAAGTTTTTCCTTCTACAAGATTAACTCGTCTTTGAACTAATTAGATGATGGTTATCCTTCTCATTTAAATAGCTCAGATTGTTTTACTTTGATCACAGATATTGCTAGAGCAGGGAAGGTATAACAGTATTGCTGAAAGGATGCAAGATTATCAAGTAATTGCGATGGTTATACTTTTGGGGTATGCATTGACTCGATGAATTAATGTAACCAGTGCTTTTATTCTTTACATGATTATTTCCTTTCCATTACTCTGAGAGACTACAAATCTTTTTAATTTTGGGCCAAAGCTGAAGTTCATTCAAGACCAAATTCAGGAAAATGTGAAAAACTTGATGTCTCAGCAATTTCGTATTCCTTCAGGTAGCTCTGGACGATATGGAGATATCGATGACAATCCTTTCTTGACCAGACCCAGCTTTTTGGCCTCCTGCAGCGTCTTTGGTCAAAAGGTAGATTTTTTTCACATGGGTGTTAGTTTTCTTGCACTGGTAGGCTCTTTTTACAGTCAATATTCAATAGGTTCTGTTCCAAGGAAATTTTATTTTAGTTGCTTGTTTAATACCACTGACTAATCTGCAAGGCTTTACGTCTACAATTGCAGTCAGGGTCTTCTACTAGTCGTGTCATATACGCTTGAAGATCCTCATGGAATTTTTAATGTCTTTGGATAGCTCTTTGAGAATCTTATGCTAATCAGTGGGTGACACGACATGATTTTGCTATTTTTTTTCCTTTTATATGTTAATCTTTCATGGATCATCTTATGCCTTGTGGAAGCTTGATTTATGTATAGCCTAAATCTGCCTCGTCAAAATTTTGCCTGTCTCCATTACATGCACAGATGGTTAGACTTGACAATTGACAAGCTTTCCACCTTTTAGTCATGCTTTCTCTTGAACTCCGCATTGTAAAAAATGCTTCTTTTCTTAAACTGAAGTAACATTTTCTGTAAGAATGTTTGGCATAGCTTCTGAAATTTCTGATTCCTCTATTCTGACATTGGTGTAGTGAAAATTCCATCTCTACGTTGTCATCATCAAGTCAGACAAATTTAGCTTTTGTACAAATTGTTTCATGCGTCAAATTTTGTTTAACTAAATTGTTACATTCTTCATTTGAGGACATGTCAACGCCCTGTTTTCCGCAGGGAAGAGGTGTTGTGGTTCGAATTGCTGCAATGACGACTGAGTCAGTTTACAGTTTTTTTCATTGTCAGTTGTCTGGCCTGGACTCACTGCTTGGTGTGGCGCCATATCGATGATTGTGGAGGGCCTTTTTGTTGCTTAGGAAACATCATAAAGTCATCCAAGATGCTGGAAGAGGCTAATTGCTCTGTTTGTATTTTTTTCTTCTAAAGAAGATTCTCTTAATTAAGTGGTAATATAATCTATGATATTGTATGTGGCACATTTTGTACTTCTGTTAGAGTGCCTAATCCCGGTTGCAAAATTTGTAGTTGGGATAATTTTGTAAACCTCCCTTCAGGTTTCTGACAATTTTGTGTAGCGCCCCTGATATTTTGAGTGCTGTAATAATGTAAACCCCTATCCCAATAAGTAATACTAAGGGTCCGTTTGGGGTTACGGTAGTTTATTGTAAAGTATTTTCTTAGTGGAGCTTTTAATAAAAGTATTTATCAGCTGCCTAAGTGCTTTTAAACATATTGTTGGAGACATAATTCAATAAGTACTTATTGTATTAGATAATGTGTAATTTGAAAATTTTTAAAAGTGTTTATCTCTTTATTTGGTTCATAATATAGGATAAGATGATTAAATTTGACATTTTGTTTTTTAAATCACAAAATTTACTCTAAAAGCACCAAATTTGAGTTTTTACTAAAAGTGTTTTGAATACCAAAAGCTCTACTCCTAATTTTATGAGATGATATTCTTCAAATACTTTAAAAGTACTTTTAGTATTTAAAAATACTTTTTACCAAAAGTACTGTAGTCCCAAACAAAGCCTAAAAGGTCGTGGGAAATGTAGGTATGTGATATCAAAATATTCATAGTTTATTCTAAGGGTGTAAATGAGTCGAGTCGAATCGAGTTTTGATTCAATTGAGTCAAGTCTCAACCTAAGTTTATGATACTCGAACTCGAGCTCGTGCTCGACAACCTCAAAATATAAAGCTCGAGCTCGAGTTCAAAAAAATAAAAGTTTATGATACTCGAACTCGAGCTCGAGCTCGACGACCTCAAAATATAAAGCTCGAGCTCGAGTTTAATAAAATAAAAATAATTATTTTATTTTTTTAAAAATAAATAAAATAATAATTTTTTTAACAAATAATAAAATATTAGGAATATATATGTAATTTTATTATTAAAATAAAAAATATATAATCGAGTTCGAGCCAGCCCCTTGTGAGTTAACGAGTTTAATATTTTTGAACTCGAATTTAAGTTTGAATTTGACTTGATCAGTTCGACCTCGATGTTAACCGAGTTCGGTCGAGCTTGGACTTCGATCACGAGTGACTCAATTCGTTTGCAACCTTAATTTATCCTTTTGAGCCAGACACGAAAATGAGTTATATTTTTGACCCAAACTTGTGCATTTAAATGTTTCAAAATTTGGAAAAAGGAATGGCCCTATTTGCAACCTATCCCTTTACCTACTAATTGCAACTTTTTTGACACACTATTTATTATTTATTTTTCCATCTATGGCTCAAAAGTAGTTTTATTATGCATGAAATGGATTCAGTAATGACTCACCATGAAAAGGATTACAAGTCCTTAGGTACCCATAATGGGATTGGTGAATATTGTGAGATAACTTTATTATTACAAATTAAGGGCGATCAATCAGGTGCAAAGAAAAAAAAATAAGAAAACAATTATTATAGGATTTTTTTAACAGATATTCTATGGACACTCGTTAAGACACTTACATTTCATCCAACTTACTATGTATACACATACTAATAATTACTACTTTTTTATACACTTTCTCTAATTAATCTCCTTGCATTTATACACTTTTTTAAAATATAATATCCGAAATACATCTTAACGAGTGCCCATAGGTACCAGTTAAACAGATCTATTATTATATAGGGCATAATTGCCTAGTCTACTGGTTAAATGCTATTCTTACTTGGCCTAATCTTGTTGAGATTTTTCTCCGCCCTGCAAATTTATAACTGAGACAATCAAGAAGGTTGCAATCTTGCTTAGAGAAAATGCATGCACCATTATGTCCCTGAACACAGGCGACTCATGTACTGAAGCTTGATCTTTTTCAGCGCAACAAGAACATCTTGTATGCTGCTTCTCTCTCTTGGAGACTCCATGGTGCAGCCTAGAGCCACTTTCATGATTGAGGCTATGCAGCTTAGCTTTTCAACAAAGTATTCATCACTTTCCTTTAGCAAATTAGCATCGATGACATTAGCTAATCCATCAGGCATTGAATTAGCAACCCAGCTCTTCAGGCTCAATTTTTCACCAAACATTTCACTGTTGGGATTTGTTCTCGTGAAGACTTCCATCATCGTAATTCCAAAACTATAGATGTCGCATTTTGCTGATACCAATCCTTCCAACCCATACTCTGCAAGGCAAGAAATATATAAAATTCATCTATGTTCTCAAATTGGTTGTAATTTTTGATATTTGGAATTTGCAACAAAAAACGACTGAGGAAATAGTACTTTAGTTGTACGAGAAAATTCTTCACCTGGTGCGAGATAGCCAAGTGTGGCTAGTGTTTCGGTGTATGTGATGCTGTTCTCCTCGCCCAACAACTTTGTAAGGCCAAAATCACTTAGATGGGCAACCATGTCTTGATCCAGCAGCACATTACTTGGCTTCAGATCACAGTGAATTACTGGAGTTGAATACTCACAGTGGAGATATTGCAATGCACATGCCACATCAATCAATATGTCCAATCTCTGCATCAGATCGGTAAAGTAGTTGTGCGAATACAACCACTTCTCAAGACTCCCATTAGGCATGAACTCAAGCACTAATGCCTTAAATTCAGGGGTAGAGCAGCTACTAATGACTCTTGTGAGGTTTCGATGGCGAAGATTGCGCAACACCTCACATTCTACATCAAAACTCTTGAACGCTCCATCGACTTGTAAATTGAACACTTTAACAGCCACATCCCTTCCATCATCAAGAGTACCTCTATAAACATATCCAAAGCTTCCAGCCCCCAGCAAATTGCTTTCATTGTACCTGTTAGTTGCTTGTAGAAGTTCAAAATATGAAATTCTTTCTGGCATTGCAACTAAGGATAAATTTGCTCCACTGGAAAGTGTATCTTTCTTTCGATATCTTAGGTAAACAAATCCAAAGGACAAGACTCCCGCTGCTATTATCACCCCCAGTAGAATAAAAATTGTTTGATGCAGCTTTTTTGTTCTCAATTTGTGAGCTGAATTATTTGGACATGGGGGCACATGAAACCTTTGAGCTCCACAGAGGGCTTGATTTGAAGTGAAGGATTCGGCAGTGAAGTTGATAAAAGGCCCTCTGGAAGGAACTTCACCACTTAAATTGTTAAAAGAGACATTGAAATGTCTAAGATACCGAAGGATCTCCATTGACATTGGAATTGATCCAGAGAGAAAGTTATGTGATAGATCCAATGACTCCAAGCTTAACATCTTGCCAATCGATTCTGGGATTGATCCTTGTAATCTATTGTGTGCTAGAGAAAGATTTTGCAGGTTCTGCATATCTCCAATTGAGTTAGGAATGCCACCTGAGAACTGATTGGTTGACAAATCTACCCAATATGCCTTCTTCATATTCGTAATAGCATACGACAAAGATCCACTCAGCAGATTTGAGGAGAGGTCAAGCTCCAAGAGATCTTTTAGGTTCCATATTTCCTCAGGTGGAGCAGAATATAGTCTGTTGTGACCTAGGTTGAGATGCCTCAGGGAAGTAAGATTTCCGAAGCACTTTGGAATCGAGGCCATAAATTTATTTTGTCCAAGGTTCATTGTATCCAAGTTGTGGAGAGCACAGAGCAAATGCAGGGGGACTCTGCTAATTAGTTTGTTCATACTGAGATCCATGTATTGAAGCTTTTGTAAATCTATTATCGTAGCTGGCAATGACCCACTTAACTCGTTGTTTGATAGATCTAATAGGATCAAATTTCTGAAGTTTCCTATTCCATCTGGAATGGTGCCCTTGATTTTGCAACCTGCTGCATATAATCTTTCAAGGGAAGTTGAAAGGTTACTGATCGAGTTTGGAATTATCCCATTCAATGGATTGTCATTCAAGTCCAATATTGACAAATATTGGCATTTTGTCAATGAAGTGATGAAACTCAACTCTTGAGATGAGGAATCGCTCGTTAAACTGTTGTTGGATAGATTCAGCAGTTCCATGAGACTTAGGTCCCCTAGGGAAGTAGGAATTGGACCCGTGAACTTGTTATAACTAAAATCTACTCTACGAAGTTTAGAAGAATTTGAGATTGAACTAGGTAATGCTCCAGAAAAGTAATTTAAGTCGAGATAAAGCTCTTCTAGATTGGGAAACCTATAACCGAATGTGGATGGAAGATTGCCTGAAAGTTGATTTAGTGACAGTGACATAACAATCAACTTTGAGAGGTTGAAGATCTCTATTGGTATTACACCTGCCAGAATAATATTGAGCATATATATTAAACCATATAAGTCTCTAATTTCTGCCATTGAGAAAATTGTCATACCTATTAAGTTGTTGAATTCAAAACTTTGTATTTTAATCATAGTTGAATTACCAATCTCTTTTGGAATTTGGCCTGCAAAAATGAAATGGAATAAATATCAACAAGTTAGATCTTTGATGGACGTTTTGAAGAAAAGTAAATGAGAAAATTAATGGGCCAAAAGCAGGAAATTGGCCACATCCCGGCACCCCTCAACATTTTGAAATTGGCTTGTTTTGGAATTAAAAAGACATTTTAAATTAAATGCATGTGAAAATTAATTTTGTTTTCAAATTTTTTTTTTTGCTATTATGTAGAGCACTAAAAAATATGAATATGTTTTCGCCATTAACTTGTCCATCAGGACCATATTCTTATCTACTGCATATATCCCTTGTCTTCCTAGCTGTAAAGGAACCAAAAATTCTGAAAATCTTTGGCAACAATTCTTTCCTTGAGGCAGCATTTTGAGAATTCATTCGGCAGAAAACAATCTTCAGCTCTAAATTTTTCTTTTATCTTTTGCCGTTTTGAGTTGGAATCTGGAAAGATAGAGCAAAAATGGTGCAAGACATGCTATTTGGCTTTGTCCATGCATGGTGAAAGAATTAATTAGCAAGGATCTTACCTTCTAAATAGTTGTAACCCAAATATAGGAACTCAAGCTTCTTCAGTGCTCCAATTTCTTTTGGTATGGAACCTCCAAATTCATTGTGAGACAAAGACAGCACCCCAAGTTCTGAACATTGAGCTAAATTACTTGATGGTAATTGACCATTTAACTTGTTAAATGATAGGCCAAGAAAATTCAGTCCAGGAAGATGGTAACACATGTCACTTGGAAGAACTCCGGATAGGCCATTACCCGTCAGGCTAATCATTTGCAGGGAGGAAAGATTGAAAATCCCTATAGGAATGTTTCCTTGTAGACGGTTGAACGAAAGACTTATGCTTTCTAGCTTTGACAAGTTAGAGATGGAAGATGGGATAAGACCAGTGAAACTATTATTTCTAAGAAACAGGCGATGAAGTTGAGGAAATGAACCAATCCACGGGGGGAACTCTCCTTCAAGATTGTTGAAGCTCAAATTAAGTAGTTTTAATCGGCGCAATCCAACAAACTCATGTGGTAGTTCTCCATGGAAGTTGTTCGCACTCATGTCAATAGAAACAAGAAATGATAGATTTCCCAGTTGTGGAGGTAAGGTGCCGGAAAGATTCATGTTTGAAATGTCCAAGGCAGTCACTCTACGATGACGAGAGCCACAAGAGACTCCAATCCAATCGCAGACCGAAGAGCCAACAGACCAGTTTTTGGCCAAGATTTGTAGAGGGTCAACCGAAATGTGAGCTCTCAAGGCAAGAAGAGATGACTGATCAGTGGTAATATTGGTCGGGAACATGGCGAAGGAAGCTGAAAGAAAACATAGCAACACAAGTCCAAGTGGGGAGAGGTGGTGAAATTTCTCCATGGCTAATGATTGCTATATGATGGGTGAGGAGTCGCATTATATAGCGGTCTCAGTAACATTATGGCTAATGTTTGTTAATTTGATTTCTATTTTCAGATTTAAGTTCCAATTGACGACATTGACACGGTGATGTAATTGTGATGCTGATTACAATTCTTTTGACCACTATTCTAGGGAATTTTGCAGTCAAGTTATGACTATACATCCACGTCACCATTTGCTTTATGTAAAGAGTAGAATTTATTTAGTTTCCATGGGAGAGAATCGACTTTGGGGTGCCATAGCCCAAAAAGAGAGGGAAGCGAAAGAGAAAGCAAATATGTCTACTCATTACTTAAGGAGACTAACCGACTTTGTTTAAGACCAGGAATCTTGAAAATTTTCCTAAACTTGAGCCATAAACCTGACATACAAGCATAGAAACTACCAAAATTCTAAGAAAGCCTCAAATAATGCCATATTCCTCGAACTTACTATTGCTGACAAATAGCTTGATATATTAAATAACTAAAGCTTGGTTAAATTTCCTTCACTTCTCTTTACCGTCATGGGAATTTTAGTAGGGTCTAAGAACCAGTCAAAATATATTTGGACAACAATTTTCCTCTACGTTTACTATAAGAATCAGTTAAATTGTTATAGTAATTTTTCTACAAAAAATCTAAAAAAATGCAATCCAAACAAGAAATTGCCAGAGTTCAAAGATGACCCTAAGTGATGAGTTTTAACATTTTGAAGTTGAACGAGACACAACCAAAAGGCCTCCGGGTAAATTGCTAAGTTGAACTATGTTGCAAAGTACATAATTTCTAACAAAAAGCAAGAACTAATAGAACTAATAAGTAATACGCATGATTGAAACATTTTCAGGACAAAGTCATTTGTCACCTTCAAAAACTTGGTCATTATGCAAGACACTAAAGTGATTGTTCTTTGACCATTCTAAACGATGACTTTGTATAGAAATTTGTGATGTAGAATTTCATCTTATCGTGCATGAAACGCTAGAAAATCAATGATGCTTCAGCCCCACAAGTGCAAGGATAATTGGATTCGTTGTTAATAACATTATAACATATTATTTCAAATAATATTTCACTTACATCATAAACATATTTTCCAACTCATATTTTTATCTCACATACATCACATCATAAAAAATGTTACAGTAATTATTCCAAATAATATTTTAAATAACATTCTATCCAAACAAACCCATTGATATCACGAAAGACAAAGCCAGTTCCATCTGTATAATTTAATTTATCATGTAAATATAAAACATCACAATTATTGCACTTCCTATATTTAATTTTTTTTTAGATTAACTACACGTGTCAAAAAAAAATCTAAGACCACTCATAACGAGTGACTATTGTGCACTCATGAGGCAAACCATATATTAATTTGAAAAATTTGCAATTACTAATTATTTTGCTCTTATTTCCTTTTTGGTCAGTAAAAATTGTCACTTTAAAACTATTCAAACAGAGCCCTAATAGTAAAACTACTGTTACATGTGCTCGGTAGAAAAATAATCATCTGTAATCTTTACCTGTTTAGGATTATTTCTGTACGTCTAATAAACATATAAAGAAAAATGATCATCTGTAGTCTAGTTTTTTGGTGAAGCAAAAATTGAACTTTTCAGTATAATGTTGTTGAGCAATACTTTAATAGTTTCTTAGAAAAGACAGCATGAGATTGGTTTGTCTTTTGCTCAATTTTCCACATTGTTGAATATAATATTCTTGCCAATTTTGTGATTTGGCATATTGATCAAACCGTAGCTTACTCAATTGTAAAACCTAATGCACTATTATACTCTATCATATATGAAGATCGTGCCTAATGTGCCATTTCTTAGTAAATAATTTCTGTAGAATTGAACCTGCACCTATGACATTGCCATATTTTTACACAAGTAATATTTGACAGGACGAACATGTATAAATTTATTATTGGAGGGTTTAAACCAATTCTTTTCTGCACTTAAATAAACAAAGTTTAATAACTATAATAAATGGTAAAATTAAACTCAAACCCAAACCTATGTCTACACAAAACAGCAAATTAGATGATGCCCCCCCCCCCCCCCCCCAAAAAATGATGCCCATTCGTGTAAATAATGAAATGTAATTAGTTAACCACATACTACACAATGAATGCCATTCCTAGCATCAAGGAAATTACTGTAATTTTCAGATCCATTTTTCAGATTATTTAGTACTATGCCTTCATGGAAAAAAAAGACCTTTTTTTTTCTTTTTAAGTATCTTTTGCTTTCCGGAGATGTCAGAGTTTGGGGAAAATATCTCACTGGAACATTTTGTGAAGTCTTCATCGGTGTTGACTCCAGAAACCAATCCCATTGTTCACAAGTCTTCTTTCAAATTATGATTTTTTTGGATGCCAGGGAAAAAAATGAATAAAGAGCGACGTGTAACTCTATCATTGGCACTGTAAAGAAGTGATATCTTATCCACTTTCTGAAAAATCTAACACTTGGATGGCTCTTAATTAGTGAATTGGACATAAGATAATCAGTCGTTGTTTGATCAATTTAATGTTATGTGGTTGTCTAACACTACTTGCACCGATTAACTATGTATTTACAGATGTTGCTTCTATTCTTTGAAGAGAATTTTCCTGAATAAGTAATTCCTGTTATATTTCAAAAACAATGGCGAAAGTTGCTTTTCTAGTTCAAGAGTCATTAATAAAGAATTAGATAGTACCTTAAGAAACAAAGATTGAAAAAATCCTTGACGCAAATTAGTTAGTTGACAAACTTCATGGAACAACACTGAGTGGGAAGACTGGGAAAATTCCTCCAAGATTCCATAATGGACTCTGGTGACTTGACCTTACCAAGTCTTTGTCCTTCATTTGATAATTTTCTAGCGACCGGGAAAATTCCATACTGGACTCTGGTGAGTTGACCTTACTAAGTCCTGGTCTTGTGCAAGAAACAAAATTTATTGTGACTTATGCAACTGCAACTCAATCGTGCACGGAACGCTGGAAAATTAAGGATGCTTCAGCCCCACACATGCAAGAATAATGGAGTTCGTGGTTAATAACATTGCTGAGATTTGTGGAAATCATACAAATAGAAGCAGCTCAAATTATGAATTAGCAAATTTACTTATACAAAGTCTTCTATTAATTTGGAACAACCTGTAATTTCCTAGTGTTTTGTTTTTTTTTTTTTTTGGACAGTAAAGATTGTCGCTGTATAACTACTAAACAAAGTACTTATTTCTCATTTCAATTTATTCTTCTCAGACGTAGGCAAAATTTTGTTTACACCAACATGTTTAGGAAAGCATTTGATTACATTTTTTTTAATTTTGTTTAAAATATTTTTACGTGTAGTAACACAACACAACTAACCGATAGTTACCAAAGCATTTAGTTATAGGGTTCTTTTTTTCTTTTTCCTTTAATATTACAACTAGTCAAATGGTTGCACCAAGACAAACGTATTATAATTCAGCAGCTTGACAAACTGATCCCAAATGGTGGGACAAATAATAACATAAAATCAAGACTAAACTTTCATTTAGTAGCATTTGAATCCAAAACCTCTTTTTTTTTTTTTTGGTCCGTCACTTTAATTGTTTTTACCACTAAATCAAGGTATCGTTGGCTTTCTTGTAACTAATAACAATAATAAAAATAGTACTTTTGCTTCACACACGTCAATATACTGAGTACAAAAGTTTAGTAATCTAAAAAGTTATGCTAGCCAGAGTCTATTTCTGATGATTAACAGATAAAAGAAATTGATAATAAATTAGATGCAAAAATTGAAGTCGTTGGTATAGTGTTGTTGAGCAATTTTTAAAAAGTTAAATGTAATCCTCATAGGAGATTGGTTTGTCTTTAGCACAATTTTTTGCCATATAATTACTAGCCAATTTTGTGATTTAGCATATTGATCAAACCTGTTAAAATACTCTGTCCTATAGCCAAGTATGTATCCTTACTCTGCTATATGTAAAGCACTATTACACTCTGTGAAACATGAAAATCCTATCGAACCTATCATATATTATTGTTTTTTTGAGGTACAATAGAAGTACGACGTTGTCACATTTTTCTTCGAGTAATATTTTCCAGCAACAAACAATTAAGCGTTTTATTGGAACCTCTAGACCAAATATTTTCTGCTCTCAAAATAAATAAATTAAAGTTTAACAATCAAAAATAAGATGTAAAAGCCAAACTGAACCAGGACTTATGTGTAGACAAAACTGCATTATATGATGTTCATTCGTGGCAATAATGCAATATAATATATGAATTCCCACTTTTTTGCCACTTCCATCTTTTGTATTTGGCACATTTTCAACTTCTATTATAGTGCCTCATCCTAGTTGCAAACTTTGTAGTTGGGATAATTTTATAAACCTCCCTTTAGGTTTCTGACAATTTTGCGTAGCACCCTGATGTTTTGAGTGCTGCTATAATGTAAATCTCTATCACACTAAGTGATATTAAAAGGTCGTGGGAAATGTAGGCAAGTGATATCAAAGTCAAGTATTCATAGTTTACCCTTTTAAGTCAGACGCGGAAATGAGTTATATTTTTTACCCAAAATTGGGCATTTAAATGTTTCAAATTTTGGAAAAAGGAATGGCCCGGCCCTCATCAGCTTGAAAGCAAAAGATCTGAAATTGTCCATTTGATTGGTAACTCCTATATGACCACTGTTTTTTTTTTCTGGTGAAAGAACAAGATAAAATGGCAACAACTATTGACGCATAAAATAAGAATATGTAAAGAAGTCAGAGGAAAAATAATCTTTCAAGAACAGCTAGGATAAACACAAAATTTTAACATTATTACGTACCTCTCTTGTGGATAGCCTAGCATTAAAATTTTCAATCTTTGTAATCATGTGCCAAACCTGCCTTTTATCTGGCCATTGGGGCAGGGAGTCAGAGACTAGAAGAACCGATTTTAAATGGCAACTTCTATTTGTGCCATTAACAAGAATTGAGCCCTTTTTTTTTTAAGATAAGAATTGAGCCTTATTTAATTTTGTCTGTGAAAATTCAAATTCTCGCCAATATTAAAATTTTTGTTGTGGGTCACCTTCACTCTTTTCGTATACTTATTCTGTGCCCCAAAAACGAAAAAAAAAAAGCCTTTAAAAGGGTGATGTGTATGAATTTTAATACGAACTTCTAGGATTTACAAGGTGTGGTGGGTTAAACTTTGGAGTACCTGAGAACTATTCTGATTTGAGGATTTTGAGAAACCCAATCACTCTGTTTGCCAGATAAATAATTTTAATTAATTTATCCAAATCATTGCCCACCTGCACAACCAATACATTTACCTACTAATTGCAACTTTTCTGGCACACTATCTTTTATATTCTTTTCCATCTATGGCTCAAAAAGTAGTTTTATTATGCATGACATGGATTCAGTAAAGACTCACTATGAAAAGGATTACAGGTCCTTAGGTACCCATAATGGGAATATTGCGAGATATATATTATTACAAATTAAGGGCGATTAATCAGGTGCAGAGAAAAGAAATAAGAAAACAAGGAGTGAGATCCTCTTCTTAGCTTATCAACTTACACTGTTAATTATTTTCTAACAGGTGCCCGTCGCTAAGACACCTGCATTCCTCCCAACCTACCATGTATAAACACACATTAATAATTATTACCTTTTTTCTTTTGTATTTATACATTTTTTCTAATTACTCTTCGTGCATTTATACACTTTTCTAATTAATTTTATATTCCTAAAAGTATAACACATGAAATACATTTTAACGAGTGCTCATAAGGCATCAATTATACAAACCTATTATTGCATAGGGTATAATTGCCTAGTCTATCATTTTTTCACTCATAATGACTGATTAAATGCCATTTTTACTTGACGTCCTTATCAGCATGATTTAATTTTTAACTTTTCTTATTTGTAGATGATGAGAGATTATCTGTAAAGGAGTATTATCACCAAAAGATAGAACATAAGAAATGAAATAATCCACATAATATGACAAATGCCTAGAACTGCTTGACGATTCAATATAATTCACAAACTTAAGAACATGTTCTTGGTAATGTAATCGCCGAAAGCAATGATCTGTAATTGAGGAAAAGATTAGTCCTTAATTAACTTGAAATAGAAAAGGAATCTCCTTTAACATTTTATTCTGCAACTGCATATTTAAGATTAAGAAGGTCGATATTTATGCGCTAATAAAAGAAAGGAAATGTTTTGATTAATTTTATTATGCAGTAAAGACTAAGAAAAGGATTACAGCCCCGTAACCATTCATGAAGCATAATGAGTGATCAAATGCCATTTCTACTTGACCACCATCTAACTAGAAGCTTGGAGAGTTGGGAAACCTACAAATTTCAAAAAGAACAAGCACCTTTAAGACTTCCTTGAACTCTGGGAACTCATGTATTGAAGCTTGATCTTTTTCAGCGCAACAAGAACATCCTGTATGCTGCTTCTCTCTCTCGGGGACTCCATCGTGCAGCCCAAAGCCACTTTAATGATTGAGGCTATGCAGCTTAGCTTTTCACCAAAATATTCATCACTCTCCTTTAGCAAATTAGCATCTATGACATGAGCTAATTCATCAGGTATTGAATTAGCCACCCAGCTCTTCAGGCTCAATTTTTCACTGAACATTTCACTTTTGGGATTTGTTCTTGTGAAGACTTCTATTATCATAATTCCAAAACTGTAGATGTCGCATTTTGCTGATACCAATCCTTCCAACCCATACTCTGCAAGACGCATATAAATTCATCATATGTTCATAAATTGATTGTATTTTTTTAGTTTGGAATTTGCAACAGCAAACAATTGAGGAAATAGTACTTTAATTGTACGAGAAAATTCTTCACCTGGTGCGAGATAGCCAAGTGTGGCTAGTGTTTCGGTGTATGTGATGCTGTTCTCCTCGCCCAACAACTTTGTAAGGCCAAAATCACTTAGATGGGCAACCATGTCTTGATCCAGCAGCACATTACTTGGCTTCAGATCACAGTGAATTACTGGGGTTGCATATTCACAGTGGAGATATTGCAATGCACCTGCCACATCAATCAATATGTCCAATCTCTGCATCAGATCCAGAAAATAGTTGTGCGAATACAACCACTTCTCGAGACTTCCTTTAGGCATGAACTCAAGCACTAATGCCTTAAACTCAGGGGTAGAGCAGCTACTAATGACTTTTGTGAGGTTTCGATGGCGAAGATTGCGGAACACCTCACATTCTACGTCAAAACTCTTGAACGCTCCTTCCATTTGTAAATTGAACACCTTAACAGCCACAGCCCTTCCGTCACCAAGAGTGCCTCTATAAACAGATCCAAAGCTTCCAGCCCCCAACAAATTGCTTTCATTGTACCCATTAGTTGCTTGTAGAAGTTCAAAATATGAAATTCTTTCTGGCATTGCAACTAAGGATAAATTGGCTCCATTGGGAAGTTTATCTTTCCTTCGATATCTCAGGTAAACAAATCCAAAGGACAAGGCTCCCACTGCTATTATTACCCCGAGTGAAATAAAAATGGTTCTATGCACTCTTTTTGTTCTTGATCTGTGAGCTGAAATAGTTGGGCATGGAGGCACAAGAAACCTTTGAGCTCCACAGAGGGCCTGATTTGAAGCGAAGGATTCGGCAGTGCAGTTTGTAAATGGCCCTTTGGATGGAATTTCACCACTCAAATTGTTAAAAGAGAGATTGATATATTTAAGATACCGAAGGTTCTCCATTGACATCGGAATTGATCCAGAGAGAAAGTTATGTGATAGATCCAATGACTCTAAGCTGGACACCTTACCAATCGATTCCGGGATTGATCCTTCCAATCTGTTGTGTGCTAAAGAAAGATTTTGCAGGTTCTGCATATCTCCAATTGAGTCAGGAATGCCACCTGAGAACTGATTGGCTGACAAATCAATCCAATTTGCCATCTTCATATTCGTAATAGCATACGGAAATGATCCACTCAGTTGATTTGAGGAGAGGTCAAGCATTAAGAGATCTTTTAGGTTCCATAGTTCCTCAGGTGGAGCAGAATAAAGTCTGTTGTAACTTAGGTTAAGATGCCTGAGGGAAGAAAGATTTCCGAAGCACTTTGGAATTGAGGCCATAATTTGATTTTGTCCAAGGTTCATTGTATCCAAGTTGTGGAGAGCACAAAGAAAATGCAGGGCGACTCTGCTAATTAGTTTGTTCATACTGAGATCCATGTATTGAAGCTTTTGCAAATCTTTTATTGTAGCTGGCAATGACCCAGTTAAGTCATTGTTTGATAGATCTAATAGGATCAAACTTCTGAAGTTTCCTATTCCATCAGGAATGCTGCCCTTTATTTTACAATTCGGTGCATTTAGTTGTTGAAGGGAAGTTGAAAGATTACTGAGTGAGTCCGGAATGATCCCATTCAATGGATTGCCACCCAAATCCAATATTGCCAAATATTTGCATTTTGTCAATGAAGTGATGAAGGTCAACCTGGAGATGAGGAGTCACCCGTTACTTTGTTGCCAGGTAGATTCAGTAGTTCTAGGTGACTTAGGTCACCCAGGGAAGTGGGAATTGGACCTGTGAATTTATTGCTACCAACATCTATTCTACGAAGTATAGAAGAATTTGAGAATGTGTTAGGTAATGCTCCAACAAAGTAATTATCCCCGAGGAGAAGGTGTTCTAAACTGGGAAGCCTATAACCTAATGTTGATGGAAGATTCCCTGAAAGTTGATTTTCCATAAGTGACATGACAGTTAACATTGAGAGGTTGAAGATCTCTGCTGGTACAGAACCAGTCAAGCTGTTGTATTCTAAGATGAGTAGTTTGAGAGAGTGCAAGTTACCAATCTCTCGTGGTATTACACCTGAAAAAATAATAGTGACGTACACGTCAAACCATACAACTCTTGAATTTCTGTAATTTAAAAATTGTCATACCGGATAGGTTGGCATCGTGAAGGGACAGGATAGTCAGCATAGTTAGATTACCAATTTCTTTTGGAATTTCACCTGCAAAAAGTAAATGGAATAACTATCAATAAGTTGACACCTTTGAAGGAAAAATATAAGCGGGAAAACTGATGGACCTAAAGAGGAAATTTTTTGGACTATTGCCCATTTTTGACATTGGCTCCTCTCAGAATCAACAAGATACGTGTAAAGAAAGTACATGCAAAAATTAAAATTTATTCTTCAAAATCTTTTTTAACGATTACGTTGAGCCCTAAGAAAATAAGAATATGTTTTGGCCCTTGACTTTTCCATCAGGACCATATTGTTATATGCTGCATATATTCCTTGTCTTCGTAGCTCTAAGGGGACCAAAATTTCTGACAATCTTAGCTCTTCATGTTTCTTATTTTTGGCCTCTTCAGTCAGAACATGCAAAGATAAGAGTTAAAATTTTTAGATTTGGATCTACACAAACTGTAGATTAGAATAATGCATAATTTTACTCTGTCCGTATATGATTGAAAGAAATAGGATCTTACCTTCTAAATGGTGGAATGCACCCAAATATAGCTCCTCAAGCTTCTTCAGTTCTCCAATTTCTTTCGGTATTGATCCTCGAAATTTGTTGTACGAAAAATCCAGCACCCGAAGTTCTGAACATTGAGCTAAACTTGATGGTAATTGACCATTTAATTTGTTCTCTGTTAGGCTAAGGAAACTTAGCCCCTGAAGACGGTGACACATGTCACTAGGAACACTTCCAGAGAGGCTGTTAGCCCCAAGGGCAATCTTTTCCAACGAGGAAATGTTAAAAATCCCCGTAGGAATATTTCCTTGAAGAGAGTTTTCATCAAGATATAAAGTTGCTAGCTTTGACATGTTAGAGACGGAAGATGGGATAAGACCAGTGAAACTATTTTCGTCAAGATGTAAGTGATGAAGTTGAGAAAATGACCCAATCCACGGGGGTAACTCTCCATTGAGATCGTTGATGCCCAAATCAAGTACTTTCAATCGGCGCAAATGAGCAATTTCACGTGGTATTTCTCCATGGAAATTGTTTCTACTCATGTCAAGAGAAAGAAGAAATGATAAATTTCCCAGTTGTGGAGGTAAAGTACCGGTAAGATTCATTTTTGAAATATTTAAGGCAGTCACTCTTTGATGCCGAGAGCCGCAGGTCACTCCAATCCAGTCACAGACAGAAGAGCTAACTGACCAGTTTTTTGCCAAGATTTGGCGAGGCTCTATAGTGTGTGCTCGCAAAGTAAGAAGAGCTGATTTATCAATGGTAATATTGGTCATGGACGACATAGCTAAGGAAGCTGAAAGAAAACATAGCAACAAATGTCCAAGTGGGGAGTGGTGTTGAAATTTCTCCATGACTAATGTTTGCTACATGAAGGACCGGGGAGGGATTATATGGGGTCTCAGTAATATGGATTTGCAAAACTGATTCTTATTTATAAAAATGATTAAATTTCAACTGACCACATTGTCAGCGATGCATAGTCATGCTGATCAGAATTCTTTTGACAAGTATTCCAGGACCTAGTCAATCTTATTATCTCTCGGTTATGAATATACATATGTGACCATTTGTTTCATGCAAAGACATAAAAACTATAATTTTACCGAAGGTACCAGAAAAGAGTCTGCGATAAAGTTTCTATGTGGTTTTTTTTTTTTTTTTGTAAGTAGCATTACATAAGCCCATAAAAAAATTTACTTCTGTATTCAAATAAAATGATTTTCTCATGTCGAAGTCTAACTGTACTGCAGGAAACACCGGTAAAACCCTAAGTTGCAGAGTGCAACTCAAGTACTTTAGTTTGAATGATTCTGGTGTTTATTTTGCTTTTCTTTCCCCTTAAAGGGAAAGCATTCAAATATGATGTTTATTATTTAATACCATCACTTTACAGACGTCTCTTTCTCTATTTTTGCTAGTTTAGAGTTTGCACGGCCATAAGGGTCATTTGGATTGAGGAACTTGGATGGGTTTGATTTGAAATCTCTACTCAAATCACCTGTTGTTCGAGTTGCTTAGCAAGCATTTGGACTTAAAATTCATCTATCAATCAGAGGAATTTAAAACTTACGAATTATTGATTTAAAATAACCCAAATTTAATGTCATTTGAAGTCTTTCACCGCGCCGGCAAAATTCTTTTGAGGTTTCTTCATCGATTGAGCAACAAACGAACAACCAGAAATATAGGGTGGCACCACCATCAAATATTGTTAGTGAAGGTGTCGGAAATCACTTAGAATCTTTAGTCTCGAAATTATCTTCTATCTCGTCTGTCCCATGCTTATATAGCTGCGACGTATGTTGATACATTGATAATTCAAGAAAACCTTTGACTCGTTGATCGTATTTGTTATCAGTTTGGTTGAATTATCAATACATCAACAAATGGGATAGAAAGTGATGAGTTGTATTTTTGCCATTAATTCTATGATTATTTTCCTCTTTTATTATACCAAATATTATTTTAATTGATTGATTCTACTTATATTTGGTATTTGGTACTAATTGTAGGAAGGTGGAGCAAAAAGAGATAAAAGATGTGATTTTTCAAGAGTTTTCCAATTCAAAATGGAGTCTACATGGGTTATTGACAGAAGATTAAGAGAAATTAAGTCTATTTGGTTTCAAAAAGCTAAAAATTAGGAAATGATAGGATGGCCGGCCCGTGTAATTAATACTCAAAGGAAGCAGCAATTTCTGGTCCTTTGATTTTCCTTTGCACAGATTTGAGGGAGTAGTAGAAGCTGAATAGGAAACAAAAGAAAAGAGAAAGCCGGATCCCGCGGGAGTGCTACTTGGCCAGGGCTCCTGTTTGACTTCGGGCAGGAAACAATAAGAGACGTGAGGGCACTAGACTTGGTCTCCACTTTTGTCTCCTTTGGCCGACTTTGAAAAGGAGAATTGCTTTGGTTTTTATTTTGAGTCTTTTACTTTTCTTCTTTGGACGGAATTTGGGAAACAGCAATTGTAAGCTTCGAATAGGTTGGTTCTACATTAATGGAGAACTAGCCTCTTATTTCTAGTCAAGGGACAACTGAAGATTTGGTTCTGCAATTACTGTGAGATCGTATTTATTTTAATCGCTTTCTCATTTATTGGTATTTATATGATTCCTGCTTTTAATTGTTATAGCTCTTGTGTATGATTGATTAGTGCACAATAATTAATTATTCATATAGGCTATTTTGCTAAATAGGGGTAATTGAATCCGTAATTGTTCGTTACCTCTATCCCAGTAGCAACTGCCGTAATTGGGTTTATGTCAGGGAAACATACGATCTAACTTAAACAAACCCTCTTAGCGTGTTTGTTAGTTAGGATTGGGCCTTTCTAATTCTTAATGCAATCTAGAAATTAAATCCTACGGTCGTACCTAGGGTTGTTTTTAGGTTAGAGAAATAGTTAACGGTCGTACCTTAGCTATCGATAAATTAAGGAAGGGTTGGTTGTTTATCGCGTGCATGACAACTATAACTAATCTATTAATAAATGTTGGAATTACCTTGAATCGATGATCAGTTGCATGAACCATTTCTGAAGTGTATCCTTGGCTAGAGTTTCTTTTAATTATTTCTCTTAATCAATTATTTTCTGCAGTTAATTTATTTAGTTAGTATTTGATCAAAAAACCCCCCATACTTTGGACTCTAGAAGAAACGAATTATCCCCAGTCCCTGTGGATTCGACCCTACTCACCGCTATATACAAAATCTGTATTTTTCTCGAGTAGGTACTTATTATTGCACAGGTTCGGCACCTGTCAGAAAGTAATTTCAGGACAGAGAATTTGAAACAGTCGGAAATAAAGTACATTATTGAAGGTTCAATGTTCCTTCCACTCAAAAGGTCGGTGTAACTGGAGGATCCTCCTCAAGTTCGTGTCCAAGAGAGGAAACTAATGCAACGTTAATCTCGGGAGACTTCAAATGTGTGAAGGAGAAAGCATGAATACGAAATTCAGCAGTTAAAGGAATATATTTGCAAAAGCATTTAAATGGAAAACGGTAACCCTATATTAAACAAATATCTTTAAAGGCATCAAATAACACCAAGGCGTTTGAGCCGAGCAGTGAAAGCATAGAGTTTGAGTTTTTGACATCAGAGGCAGCGGCAGGGCTTTATTGTCCTCGCCTGAATGAGTAATCTATGTTATTTTTCAAAAACAATGACGAAAGTTGCTTTTATAGTTCAAGAGTCATTAATAAAGAATTAGTGAGTACATTAAGAAACAAAGAAAAATAAACTTGGAAATTTGGCAAATCTTTGATGCAAATTAGTTTGCCAAAAAAGAATTTCATGGAACGGGTATTGGGAATTGCAGAATCATTGCAATTCAACCAAGGCATCTTTTCTTAGCCTTGGTGGGAAGCTTAGTAGAATCTAAAGACCAATAATCAAAACTAATTTGCCCAAGTTCAAGGATTAATCAAAATGATGAGTTAACATTTGGAAGTGAAGCATAAGAAAAAGGCAGAAGGTTTCTAAGTTGAGCAAATCTTGGAAAGCAGAGAATTTCTAACAAAAAAGAAGAACTATCAAGTAGTAGTCATGACTCGGGATTGAAACTCTTCAGGGACAGAGTCGCTGTCTTTCATTTGATAAATGTTCGCGCTGAGCGGGAACACTGGAAAAATTCCTCCAAGATTCAGCCTTGTTTGGACTGTAATTTTCTGCAGAAAATTTTTTACATTTTTCATGAACACAGTTTTTGCATTTGATAATGTCATTCGTGGTAGTAGTGCAATATAATTAGTCAACGACATAATATATATGACAAATACCAATCCTAACATGAATTCTACAAATTAATGCGGATGCTTTGAACAAGGAAATAAGTGTGGTTTTTTCTGCAATCAAGGACAAGGCCTTCATTCTTTAATGTTCGAGCGCATGGGCAGACTGGAGAAACACCTCCAAGAAACTATAGTAGATGTTCCTCAACTCTTTGGCCAGAAAATTTGTGATGCTGTGTCGCTTTGTCCCAGTCGTGCTGCAAACGCTGGAGAATTAAGGATGCCTTAGTCCCGGAAGCAGGGCACTGACAATCGTCCAGAACAATGGAAAAATTCCTCCAAAATTCCACACTAGACTCTGGTGGGGTGATCAAAAATACATTTGGATTGTGATTTTTAGTAGGAAGATTTTTACGTTTTCTATGAATATATTTTTCAATCATTTTTTTAACTCATATATATGAAATCGTTATAACACATTTTTCTATAAAAATTCCTAAAAATAGCAATCCAAACAAAAAGAAACAAAATTGATTGTTCCTCGACTATTCTGAATGATGACTTTGGACAGAAAATTTATGATATAGAATCTCAATGTGCAGGAAACGCTAGAAAATTAAAAGGATGTCTCAGCCCCACATATGCAAGAATGATGGAATTCGTGGTTAATAACGTTGGTAAGGTTCACAAAATTAGGGAACCAGAAAGCAAGTAACATCAATACTACCGAGCAATAGACATGACTTCTACTCGTCTACATTAATTTTGCAATTAATAGATGAGAGATAGGTCTGGAAATTATACAAGTAGCATCTTCTATGAATTTGGAAAACCTGCAAGTTCTCAGGATTTTGCACTTGTTTTCTTTATGGGCTGTAAAAGTTGTATTCGTATGGCTATTCAAACAAGTACTTATCATTTGAAGTTGTTTTCTCAGAGGTAGAAATGTCTATAGGCTACCATATTTAGGAGTTCATTTAGTTACAGATTATTTTTTCTTTTTTTGGAGATAGATTACATTTTACCTTTCTCTGGTTTGAAACTTTATCACATATCTACACTATGGTTTAGAGATATATGCACAAGTCTCTCATGGTTTAAAGACTTACTCCACTTTGTGGCATGTTTGGATTGGTGGCCAAACTTGAGCCTTCTTCAAATGGGCCTAACATACAGTTCAGTGACGTTGTGCTTACATAGCTTTTGTATATGGCAATTAACAGTTAACTTTGGTTGCTAAGAGCCTTTTCCATTTTTTGTTGACAGAACTAACAGCAAAAGATAGCTATTAATTTTAGGTAGATGATGGTAAAGTTAAGATCAATTTTTGGTTGATACAGTTTTTCATGTTATTCTGTTGTACCTATTAACTCTGTGCTTACAGACACAACTTCTATGCAGAGAATTTGCCATACTAAAGTAAATTAACCGTGACATTAGCAAAAGGTTGTTTCTATAGTTCAAGAGTCATAGATAAAGAATTAGTTAGTACTTCAAGCAGCAAAGAAAAGTAAACCTGGAACAGGGACGAAAATGGGGGGTTAGGAA